TTACATGCACATGTATGCCACCCTGAGCCGGGGTGGTGCCAGCCAGAGCCACAAGAAGGTTGATGCGACCAGAAGCTGGGTTCTGTACCAGTACTACCACAGCAAGGTGAGCCTCCCTGAAAGTTACACAGACCAGACCATGGCAGTTGACCACCAATATACAGACTGTGCTTTTCATCTGCTGTGCCCTTAATGAGGTTTTCTTCATTGGTCTCTATCTGCTCTCTTTCTCCTCGCCTACTCTTTCTCCATCTCTTCTGCAACCTACTGAGCAGCCCGCCTCCGCGCAGCCTGGAAACCCTGCTCACCCAGCCCCAAGCAGCCTTTTCGCTAGCCCATGGAGTGCTGGTGCTCTGGAAATGGCCAGAGCTAACAAGCTCGACAGCTTCTGGCCATGGGCGATTACTGCTGTCTCTGCTCCCGTGATGGCCTTCAAGCAGTTTGTCAATGTTGTGCAATTGGTCAATGCCAGCCAATGGATGGCAGAGGGCGACCTCGCAAGCCGGAGGGAGGCGCGGAACGGCAAGAAGCGGTAAACTGCCAGTTCTTATCCAACATGAGCAGGCTGTCGATTGAGGAAGTTCTACTAATAACATGTTTTTCTTTGCCTTCTGACACATCCGTTGGTCTTGTCATGAACAGGGTTCTCTCCAGCACATATTTTCGCCGAGTTATCACTATCATTCGCATCACTTAGCTTTCACCTTCTTTTCTTCTCTTATTCCTTTAGTCTATATTTGCTCGTTTTTGCCCGTTTATTCCCGGCTATTCATCCGTCAGATCTGAAATTTTTGGGAGGAAATCGGTCTGTTGAGACAGATCTTTGCAGCATTTGAATGGCCCTTGCTTGTTTCTTATTACTTTTTAGTATCCTTTCTTTCGACGCCCTTTTCCTTTTTCATTGTTGCTTCTTGTTACCTACATTTTGCTTGACTTGCTTTTTATCCGCTATTTTAATGTGTGCTGGGGTATCAATTATGGACATACACAGTTTGTATTAGTATCCTTGTTGTTATTGCTGCTTTATTCATATTGCCTGGAAAGAAATGAAAACAATCAATGATACACTGAATCCATATTATTGTGTAATAGTACAGAGTAGTAATTGTCCATCCCTCAGAGGCTGCTTTAAGCCGATACAAACCGACTCCGACTGCGGCTCCGGTGTCGGCGCGGGGTGGACCAATTCCGCCCCGCCATATCCAGCCGTAGTGACCATTATCCGATTATTCCTCTCGACTTTCTTTAGATATCCTCCTATCTACAGCTTAAATCACTTCTTCAAGAACAGACAATCACCATAATGCCCCCCCATAACATCGTCGTCTTTGCCGGAGACCACTGCGGTCCCGAGGTGAGCAGCTCCGAATCCGCTAGTCCGCAATTGACTTGTACTGACTTTCGAATTATAGGTTACCGCTGAGGCTCTCAAGGTGAGCAGCATTCTACTGAGAGACTGGTTTCAAAATGCTACAGAGAACTGATTGAATCGTGGCTAGGTCCTGCGTGTCATTGAGAAGAGTCGCGATGACTTCAGCGTCAACCTTCAGGACCACTTGCTTGGTGGTGTGAGTGCCTGATCCCTAGTGCAATAGAAGAATTGGGGGTGTGTTACTGACAATGTGCTTTCTTCATAGGCATCAATCGATGCGACTGGGTCGCCCCTGACCGACGAGGCCCTGGATGCTGCTAAGAACGCCGACGCCGTTCTGCTCGGTGCCATTGGAGGACCGGTACGCGACCATTCCCCAAAGCCATGGAGGACGTTATAACTAACAAAACAGAAATGGGGTACCGGCACCGTCCGCCCCGAACAAGGCCTCCTCAAACTCCGCAAAGAAATGGGCACCTTCGGTAACCTCCGTCCCTGCAACTTCGCCGCCCCCTCTCTCGTCGAAGGCTCCCCACTGCGCGCCGACGTCTGCCGCGGCGTCGACTTCAACATCATCCGCGAATTGACTGGTGGTATCTACTTCGGCGATCGCAAGGAAGACAACGGCGATGGCTACGCACTCGACACAGAGCCGTACTCGCGCGCCGAAATCGAGCGCATCACCCGTCTCGCGGCCAACATGGCCCTGCAGCACAACCCGCCTCTCCCCGTGTGGAGTTTGGACAAGGCCAACGTTCTCGCGACGAGTCGATTGTGGCGTAAGGTTGTGACGGAGGTTATGGAGAAGGAGTTCCCGCAGGTGCAGATTGGGCACCAGCTTATTGACTCTGCGGCTATGATTATGGTGAAGGACCCGAGGAAGTTGAATGGTATTATTGTTACTAGCAACTTGTTTGGTGATATTATCAGTGATGAGGCAAGTGTTATCCCTGGTTCGTTGGGTCTGCTTCCTAGTGCCAGTTTGAGTGGCATTCCCGATGGAAAGAGCAAGGTTAACGGTATCTACGAGCCTATTCACGGTATGTCTCCCCTTACATCCCAACACACACCCACAAACCTAGTACTGATTAACGTGATGCAGGCTCCGCCCCCGACATCGCCGGCAAGGGCATCGTCAACCCCGTCGCCGCCATCCTCTCCATCGCCATGATGATGCAGTACTCTTTCAACCGCATGACCGAGGCCAAGGCCATCGAGACCGCTGTGCGGAACGTGATCGAGGCCGGTGTCCGCACTGGTGACATTGGCGGTAAGGCGACGACTGCGGAGGTTGGTGATGCTGTGGCCGCGGAGTTGGAGAAGCTGCTATAGAGGATGGGGTTTATATAAAATGATGTGATATAAATTGTTTTGCTTTATTATATGGAAATGAGACGTGATATGACTTCAATAACTTGGTTATGCCTTGGGAGCATCTCTAATCCGGTGCTTTCCGCCGTTTTCACTTTGGAATTTCACTTGCACGTTTTGATATACTCTTCCAGGTAGGCTCTCGAAGCCACACAGAAACCAAGCCTTGTATTAAGATGAACTACTCCGTATGCTTAGCCCAAAATCTCGACCCAACAGCTCACATCTACAGAGTATGCAGAGGGAATTGTATCTATACGAGTTCGGTCTACAAAGAACAAAAGAGGTTGGTTATAGTTCTGCTAGACATAAAACCCATTACCAATTGGACTTCCACCCCGTGATTCAACGCCCCTTTTCCGGTTTCCCTCTTTTCTTATTTCTTTATACTGAACATAGAGGATGAAATAATTTTAAGTGGTGCCGCGCTTTTCAGGTCACGATGTTCTTCATCCTCTTCGACCCTTCCAGCGCTGGGAACCGTGTCTGAGGAAAATCGATTCAATTAGGCGCCAAAAGGAATACCCCAGGAGGGTCAACCAGTCAGCCATCAACTGAAACCAAACGTAGTCGGCATATATGCGTTCCAAACATTGATTAAGTCCCTATGCTGGGCCATATCCTGCCCTTGTATCTGTACTCCGTAGACCATATTGACAACAAATGTAGATCGACCATATCACTGCGCACTTTTGTCCATATAACTAACAGATCATTGGCCTTGTGGACGAATTGACAGACCAGAGAGATGTGATAGGCGTTAATATAATAGTCTCAAGACCCAACACCTCGGCTCGTACCTGTACCTGGTGATATAAACGGTCAGGAATGGTTTTCTGCTGGGCTCATGTCTGTATGTTTGCTTCTCCAGACCTTCGACGGGGGTTGCGATACATGGCTTGTGTGTCTTAACTTTCCGCATGACAGCGTAGCTGCAGGCGGGGACGTAACAAGATCTGATATCATCAATGAACTCCTGGACAATGTGGCGGTTTTCTTTTTTTGCAGATTAGTTGAGTCTGGTATGGATTACCTGCGCTGTGATGCTGGTTTCAGTGATGCTCGTCATGAGCACATATTCAGCTTTCCACTGAATGCATATATCTGTCAATTCTTGCAGGTCACAGCAAGATGACAAAGGACTGCTTCAAGAAACTTAACGTGTCGTCAATAAGCGTGTGGTATTGGTAGCGTTGCGTGCATTTTTGGACTGCCTCGGAGTGTCATCTCCAAGCACCATGTGTGGTCTTGAATGATCTTTGTAGCATTTTAGAAGAAGTGCTACACGCTTTTCAGGTGCAAAGGCTAGGAATTCACGATCAAAGAACTATCACGAATAGCAAAGTGTCATAACTGTGACGGTCTCGAGCAATATGGATCTATTGGTAGACTATCTGACGAAATTCTAACGTGAGGAGAGAAAGGAAACAGGCAGGGCCTGCCGGCGACAGACTATCTAGTGTGTGTGTGCGAGGAGTTGTTGTCCTACTCCAAACAGGACAAAGCAATCAAACATCAAACATGCTATACAGCTAGCGAGCGTTCATGCTCAGTGACAATAACAACAGGACCCATCACTTGTTTTCCATATAGAAAACGGCATAATTCGGCCCTGTATCCTTAGGGCTTCAGAGTATTGTCAACTTACCCGCTTTCATCTTATCTGTGAAAACATTCTTCCCCTTGATAGGGCCAATATACTTAAATATCGAGCACCCAGTCTCGGCGCGGTCATAATTGAATGCGGAGTTTCTTCTGGTTCAACTCTCGCATTTGGGAGACAATGACAAAACAGGTCTTGAAAAAGTCCTTCACATGCGCATGTTGAGTAACGGTCTTTGATGATCCTATAGTCGATCGGATTGTACGCAAGGAAAACCGTGTCTTTCCATAGGCATGTGAATCGAGAGTGAGGAACGCATGTTGTGTTTGACCAGATCCAATAATCTTCGGAGGTGAGCCGGTCTGAATGTCCGTGGGACATGAGTCTCCGAACGCGACATATCCCTTGATTAAATTGTGTTGTGCTCAGTCGGGGGAAATGAGGTTTTGTCATTTCACTGTACTCCGTATCATGGACAAATCAACTTGTTGCTAGTATCCCCACGGGACATATATCCCATCTTTCTCATAATTTTGCCCCGGAAAGGTTTCGTGGTGGCTTCCGTGGTTGTTCATGATCCCCTTTAAGGGGCGCTACAACCAACAGTTTGTTTAGGTCATGAATATGCACAGTGAGTGCAATTTTGCGCCCATGACACTGCGAACATAGTCACCCACAAAACTGCGTCTAGGACATGTGGTGGCGATAAATGAGGTCTTAAACTCCGGAGGCGGTCTTCGTACAGCGGCTGTTGTGGTGAAAAGCTGGTTTGGCAAGCCTCTGGCTGCTCTTCCGCGACGGTTTCCAGCTGGTTAAAATACAAGACCGATTCTCATGCCATCATCGACCCTGTGGTCAGATTTCTCGCATTGCGCAAAAGCACAAAAGCACTACGCCGCTAGGTTAGCCAGATAAAACTGGTTCCTCATCTGTCGTTCATCTTTTACCAAACGAACCACAAGTGTATCTTTGCATAGATACGTTTCCGGAGTGGTTGATTTTTTTTTTATAAAGTGTCTTCCACAGATTCCCTGCAAACTGTGACAGTTGATATCTTTGTAGACATTGAGCCGGTGGACTCCGGGGGGGAGTTCCGTGCTCACGTCTCGGGATGGTGCTCTTTGCATGTCGTCTTGAAGATGAAAACAACATCCTGGGCATTGACAGATCCTTGGGCATAATGTGTTCCCCTTGGGTCCTCTGGATAAGTACTAAAACAAAACTTGCAGGCTGGAGAAAGTTAGCGAGGCTGAAGAGCAGCATGGTGGGCATGTACTCTCGCATAAAAACGGTTTCCCTATATAATTTTGTCAGTGCTTGCCCTAGTCCGACTAGTTGTCGAACCTCGACGTATACTGATTGAGAGAGCTACTAGACGAAGTCATTGCTTGGTAGCGTAGATTTCTGCACAGTCGAATTTGCGCGCGTCTGGCTGGGAGGTAGTGGGGGTAGCAATTGTTGCACCCTGTAGCTTCTCTGCTAACATTAAATGCATTTTACTGCAGCAAGGTGTTCGTAATGCATAATCGTGACTGTTATGTGACGATAAAAGGATGCCCTCAGAGTCCAAATATTCGTTTCATCGATAGACACCTGGGACCATTGATTGCAGGACAGAGCTGTGGCCTCCAATAGCTGGTGAGTGTAGTACAAATGCAACAGTTTTGGTCCCGAATGAACACATGCTGTTTACATCCATTGTCCTTGATCCCAAGCAAGAGTATGCTTGATTATTGCATCTTTTGGTACTTCTATATATATCCCCAAGTCATTTGTTGATGTGATGACTGAAGACGCATCGTCGCACGTGCTTTGATTACTTTGTGTAGTTCCATATCCCTTATGAAGAGGGCCTTGTATATAGTTTCATATAAACGACGATAAACGACGATGCGGAAAAGTGATGCTCAGAGACTGTGCGTTGGAGCTTTAGTAAAACGGCACCGGGATGTCGAGATAGCCAACGACATGCGATCAGTATGATAGATTTATAGCGTGTGATGAATGACGTGGTGAATTCATTTCTCTCATGGCCCCAATCTTTCTATGACTCGGAAACTCACACTGTGAGCAGGTGATGGCATATGGGACCCATTCCCTGTTGAACTTGAGCTCCAGGAATGCTCCTAGTGTATCTATTCCTTTCAGAACATCTCGCCTACCTAGGCTCTGACTAGCCTGAGCTGGTCCTGAAATGGCCGAATCAGGAAGTTTTCTGTCATTTTTGGGGAAGACTTTTCAAATGATTTTGCCTGGTTTGAATTTGACTTCGAATCCCGCGAGGATCAACGAAATCTGCCTGTGCAGGTTTCGCCTGTCACGTCTCGAATCTTTTGTCCACTGCGACGAGCACGGTAAGAGGGGGGCTTTGTCCCAGGTCTCACTAGCACACCGGTCGTGTATCTTTGGGTCCAAATTTCTTCCAGAACATCGTCGTAAACCATCTACTTAGCCATGTTCTGGCAAAAGCTTGGTCCGAAGAGCATTGCGAAGAATGTCTCAACAGTCATAAAACGAGGCAAGTTATCAAGTTCCGGATATATGTGCAGTTAAAGAGCATCACTGTCACGAGAAATTTGCCATATAGGACGCCCATTCGAGCACATCGTTTATATATCGAAAACACCACTTTCGGGGTAGGTACAGATTAACAGGTAGTGACAGTTGTCGACAGCTATATATATTGCTCGCCATGAACCCGCATCGTATGTGTCGGTTTCCTGTTATTACATATCAGGATAAGGTCATCAAGAGATGCCTTTTAGCTGACGTCTCCTCGTGGCTGGCGAAATATATAACCTATAGCCTAATGCGCTTGTGTTAGCGTTTTTGATTGTATGGAAGGTTTATTCACTCACATCTATGTAATCCCTGAGAAGTTAGGGATGGCGACCCCATCATGATGGGAGATGGGCGATTGAGCTAGGAATGAGATGTGGTAATAGTTGAAGATGAATGAGAGAACCGTCAAACGAAAAATCACACTAGCCCTAATAGGAAAAACAGCCACATGTGTCACAGCTTTTGCGTGAATACGTCTGCATTTGCGTAAAAAGACAGTCTAATAATATTACAATCATGGGTATCATATCAGCTCCCCAAACCTCTTCACAAGTAATGGACAATCATCGAATAACAGGCTCCCCCATCCAATCTGGTTCTTCCAACCCCATTACCCTACCCCCACCATCCTCAGCATCACGTCCCTCACCATCCTTCACATTTGACTGCCGTAAGCTCTGTCTCCTTACCCGTCCATCCGCAGAAGCAGAAGGGGCATTGCCTGCCCGACGACGGTCATCGTCTCGTGCATACACCTGAAACCCCCGCACGTGTGTATCTTTGCCGTTTTGGTGGTTTTCCATTATTTTCATTTGGATGACCATTGCCTTCAGTACGTTCCCTGCGTACGGGTCATCTTCATCGTCCTCATCAGCCGTCTCGTCGTTATCGTCTTCGTAAGCGCCCTCGTCGTATTCCGGGTGCTCAGAGTCGGAGAATATGTAATCGTAGTCCAGCTTTGCCTCAGAAGCAGCCTTTGCCTTTGCTTTTCCCGATACGGAGGCGCGTTTATCATTCGCACGGGTAACACGCTTTCGTCTCTTCTTCCTAACCCAGCCGCCACTTCGACCTCCTACATTTTCTAGCGGTATGTTCACCCAGCCGCACGGTGTTTCTCCTTCCCAGGTTGCAAACTCAACGAGGTCGTTACCGCCCATGCCAGCCAGGAAGACCATTTTCGTGGGTGTGTAGCTTTCGTCCATCTCGAAATCGAGGTACACGCGGACCCGGACAACAGCGACGAGTTTGAAGAAATGAAGACTGAGCGTATGCGGTTGCGGGCCGTCGGATTGCCAGTACTCCGCTGGGTTCGAGCTACGAAGAGCAGCAACGCCGCAACCCGGTTTATGTGTTGTGACGGTCCACGAGGCTAGCGACGAGATCTCGCGGAGGTTGGGCGGGAGGGGTGTCGGGGATCTGTCTGAACAATCGGTGTCAGCATCACCATTCAACACAGAAGGAGTATGCTGGCGCAAACCTCGTTCCTGCATTAACTCATCCTCATCCTCCTCCCCACCTTCCATCTCCTCCTCATCGAACATCCCTGCGGCCTCTTCATCCGACAAAGTAATCTCATTCCCCTCCGCGTCAATAGTAATCCGTCTCGGGTCCTCCTGCGCAAACGTATCGTTCAACCCATCATCCGACTCGTCATCATCTTCATCCATCATCTGCGGACGCTGTCGACCGCCTCGGCTAAAGAGGCCGAAGATGGCTGCTTGTGCCGCTGCGGCTGGGTGCATGGATTCCACGCTCTGGATGGGCCCCGACGAGGGATGGAGCTGTGGTGTCGCATGTGAAGGAGGGGTATGAAATTGTGGTTGGGGGACTGCATGGCCGGGTCGTGGTCTGCTTGGTTGTCGATGTCGGTGCGGAGAGTCTGGAGTGGGAGCGGCGGGTCTTCGGAGGTTTGGTTGGGGTGGCATTGCGCTGGATTTTGGTTATTTTGTGTTGTAAAGATAGTGTGGCATTGTAGGATTGTGAGGTTCAATTTGATCAGAACGGGGGCCTTGAAAGGGAGTGCAATGTGCTTTGTTTACTCGGGCATCTTTGGATGGAAGGTGAAGCTCCAAGGAATCTCGCGACAAACTCCGCATCGGCCAATCACGTGCGATATCTACGATAACCATACCAAAAGCAATGTGAAAGGAAACAAAATCAGGGCTTTTAATAGACTCTATTGAAATGAAGGAAAGTGCTCGTCTACCCAACAAATATACGCGAAGATAATGGTATACTACAAAACCAAATGCAACAAGATCCACACACCGTAACTCCCGGGCAGCAAGATGTTAAAACGAAGAAGAACAACGAAGAGCGCGTCAGTAAGGTGGAGATATGTTGAACATCTCCCTCTGCCCAGGGGAGAAGGGAAGGGGAACGAAAAATTTTAATAAGGGATTCGTTCACTCATCGACGTCCACATATCCCAACTTCTGGCCAACCTTGATCGTTTGGCCCTTCTCAATGCACCAGTTGAATCCATCTTGTCGTTCGCCTTCTTTCCAGCCGGCGTCGAAGGACAGCCGGCGACCCACGGGAGCTTCAAAAACAAGAACAATTGAGCTACCCAGTTGGAATCCGCCCATTTCCTCTCCTCGCTTGAGGGGGTGCCCAGCAAGCGTTCTGCTCGCGTGGCGGTAGGTGGCTTCGACAAAACCAGGGAACTGTTCGCCCCGTCTGGCTGCAAGAGCAGCCGCCAGGTCGGCTGCGGTATCAGTGGTGAGGCTGTTGGTGCGTAACTCGGCGTCAAAGTTAACCTTGATGGAGCCCACATTGGTGGCACCCACCGGAGTATAGCTGAAGAATCCCCAGCGCCAGCGACCTAGGAAAGCGACTCGCTCATTAAGGGTAAAGAGACCAGGAAGGTGGCGTTGCAAGTAAGGGGACACCGAATAGAGTTCTCCCGCGAAGTGACGACGACTCTCAACCACCCATGGAACGGGAGAGTGGAAGCGGTGGTAGTCACCGGGCGCAAGGTAGATGACCACATAGAACAGGGCGTTGTTTGACATAGGCTTGGGAGAATACCATGAAGAACCATCACCAAGTGCCAGGTCGGCTTTCACCTGGGCCTCGGAGGTGGGCTTGGACGATGTGGACGCATCCAAGGACGCGGTCCGTTTATTAGCCCCTCCTTGGTCACCTGCGAGAAGGGTAGGAAGCGTGTAGGAGATACCGTTGACTCTTGCAAATTCCTCGTGGGAAGCCATATCAGCTGTATCTTTCGGGGAGGGTTCCGACTGGTGATCGGTGAACTTCTTCGAATGGTCAGCGTGCGATGGAGTGGCCGCACCCAAGAGTGCATCCAAACTGTATGTGACACCCTTGACCTGCTCAACCTCACCACGCTCAATCAAACCGTACTGTAAAATCCGGCCATCAGACGGGGCAAGAATAGCCCGAGGGTCAGCGTCGAGAGGTCGACACCCAGGCTTCAATTTGCGATAGAAGAAAGCGGCCAAGTTCGGATACGTCCGAAGATCCGGCTCTGCAACTTCGTCCAAATTGACTCCAAACGCCCATGAGTAGAGCTTGAATCCTGGAGCACGAAGCCAAAAAGGGAGCTCCAGCTCGTTGAAACGACCCCATAACCGAGAGATGGCCTTCAATGGCAGTGTCGACATGATCTGAACCTGCCATGGACCACTAGGCCTGATCCTGGGGCGGGGCGGAGGTTTCCCAAACTCCCATGCTTCCCCAGATTCTTCTCGTTCGATCCGTAACCGTTCCGTCCGTTGTGATTTGTAGAATTGAAGCAGCCCTAGAAGACCGATACCCAATCCGACGGGAATCGGATACCATTCCACCTTGGTTTTCCGTAATGCTGACCGGAGACGAGACCCGAAACCGCGATTGGCCGATTCGTTGTAGTTGTGGCCTTCATGGTGGTAATGGCGGTATTGCCGCCAATTCTTAGACGAAGATGAGTACTGTTTTGCGCCTTGCCGGCGTTGGCCAGTGGCCCTGAAAGTGACGATGTCCATCACCGCAGTCCTGCCTTCATGGGGGAATGTAGCAAAGAGCGCTCTAGCAAACTTTTGACGACAGATTGTAGAGCAAGGGATTAGGCACACGGCCATTACACTGTCTTACACGGAGGACGCCATCCCTGATGGGGCTGACAAGGGAACAGGACAGGGTACTGACTGGCTTGAAGAGGTATTATTCTTCCGTCTCAACGAAGCCGAAAAGCGGAGATGTCACGAGACAGGAACGTCACGGGCCTCACCGCCCGGCAATTCGGCGACGGAGAAGGTGTCGGTCCGATTCATGCGTATTCCGTGGATGGCGGTGGTCAATATAGAGGGGAAGAAGAGGAAAGAAGAAAACAAAAGAAACAGTAGTGAATATGAGCTGTGTTGTGGCGTACTGACATATAGAATAAGTGCAATTCACTGCATCGTGGTGTGGTGGACGAATCTCGGGTGGTCAGCAACAGGGGACATGGTCACTTGTCCTCATCTCTCAATCTGTCTCCAATTTGTCTCTCCTCATTCAACTTCCCTCTTTTCTATCTACACGATAGCCCCAGGATAGAGCTAAAATCTGTACTATATCATCATTCCTTCTTTTAGTCTGCTTTTCGGAAAGCCCGAAGATACTCATACCAGTGGCCACCACTTGCACATGGTGACGCATATTGTTGTTATTATGAACCTGTGATTGCAATTGCTCTCCATTCCAACTCGTTATAGATCGACCTCAACTTCTGAAATGGCTTCTAGCGCGTTTGCAGAAGGGGCCCCTCCACCATCAGAGGAATCTGGCAGCGCCCCGGCCAACATTGCCCTTCATGTCCTCAGTCCTTCGTTGCCTCCTCCCAGTCGCTTTACCCTCAACGATTTACCTCGTTCGACCACAGTGACCGACTTAAAGACTCGTATTTCGCAATCGATACAGAGCCAGCCATCCCCAGGGAGCCAGCGCTTGATATATCGGGGAAAACCTCTCATGAATCAGAATGAGACGTTGCAGACTATCCTTGAACCGCCAGACGTGAGTAGCTCTCCGGATGTTTGTTGATTGGATCATTGCGTGCTGATTTTGTTTGAATGTGATTTCAGGAGTCGGAATACTCAATACATCTGGTCCTTCCTCCAGCTCCTGCACCTTCTGCTCCTTCCTCTGCGGACTCGCCATCGGCCGCGCCTGCCCCAACTCAAGAGGCAAACCCCATCAATCCTATGCGCAATCCCTTCTTCGCGACCAATGCCACTCGACTTGCTGCACCGAATCTTCCAAATGCTCAAGGAATCAGATTTCGAGGAAATGCGCCAACGCCCCCTAGAGCAAACGAAGCGGACTTGACACAGTTGAGGCCTACAATTGAGGCGATCCGCCGACAGGTAGAACAGTTAGAAAGAGGCGGAAACCAGCAGGCACGACCAGTGTCGCAGGCAACCGCGACCAACCCGTCTGGTTCTCACGTGCAGTCACCATCTTTTCCGCAGCAGGCTGCCTGGCAGCGAATGTCACACGGCTTCTCAAATCCATCGATTTCTGCTATACCACAGCATCCTTCATCAGTTACCACCACTAATTCTTCGTTACATTTCAACATGCCGTCGACTATGCCTTCGACTACATCATCAACTGCGAGATCGTCAGTCGCAGAAAGTGACCTTACGGACTTTACCGATAACCAGCAACTCCAGCTGCAAATCCTACGCCATCAGATCGCACTAGGCGAGGACCAGCTTAGCCGGGGGATCGCACCTCCGTTTGACCATATCGTGCGATTGCGAACCCAGTTATTCCAAATTCTCGATGATCAATATCGCAACCCACTTGCTCGACGTGATGGATCCGTGGAGTCGTTGCTCACCCGCGTCTCCAACATGTACAATCGAGCGGATCAGCTCCGTATTCTGCAAGCGCGATCGAGCATCAGTCTGCAAAACAACCTTGGAAGTTCTGTCATGAATCCCGATCCCTCGACAGCACCTCTATACCTACTTTCCTCGCCAGACGGCCACCAAAGCATTATAACCTCACCAGGTGGAACAGGGACGATCCAGGCAGCACTCCGCGCAGCACATATGCCTACGACAACCACATTTACCCGCACCACTGGACAAGCACCCGAAGCGCACGCGCAACCAAATCCAGCTGTTATGGAGAACGTTGTCCGTCAAGCTGTCCTTAACCACCAACTCCATAACCAAGATCACCAACTTGGACTTGCCCGGACCATTAGGCGAATGTGGCTGTTCATCCGGTTATACTTCTTCTGCTACATGTTTAGCGAACCTGGTACTTGGACGCGAATCTTCTTTGTCTGTTTAGCTGCCATGATTTCACTATTGTCAGATACGGGCATCCCGCAGCAGTTATATAATATGTTCGTCGCCCCTGTCCAGCGCCATATGGAAGGAGTCATTCAGATTCCCCGACTTCGACGACCTTCTGCCAGCCAGAACGCCGCGGACCCCACAAGACAACCTACCAGAGACAACCACCGCGAAGCTCAACCTGCCGGACTGCGACACAATGTCAGACGAGTGGAACGATCTCTCCTGTTTTTCATGGCCAGTTTGATCCCCGGCGTCAGCGAGCGATATGTCGAGGTCAACAACGCAGTCGTAGCAGAAAACGCTCAACGTGAACGTGAAGAGGAGGAAACCCGTCGTCGACAGGAAGAAGCCGACCAGCCTGACGCGGGTGCCGACAATATGGATCAAGAGACGGCCACTCCTCATGCTCATCCGGAACGAACCGTGACGAATGCGAATGAAAGATACACTGCGATACCCCAAGAGGAAGATAGATAAGCAGAACATGGATTTTTCTTTTTTTTTTTCTTCTCAAAATTTCTCTTCTTAAGCCTTTTTTTTGTTCTCAACATTAGCGTGTTGTCGTTTTCTTATACTTCTTTGTATCTTAGCGTTGCGGAATAGGGAATGAACGTTTCCATTTTCTAAAATAAACATGGTGCCATGTCCGTTGTAAAGATATATAGGTATGCTCCAATCTATTCTACTATACTGGTTGTGATGCTCTATACATGCCAATGGGGCTATCATAACTTCGTAGCAGGCGTCTCATCCGAGACGAGCATCCCAGGCGCAGGATCGAACGACTCGTCGCCATTGAAATGCCTACACAAGTCAGCATAAATCATTCAACCAACAAGAAACGATAAACTCACCATCCCCTCTCAGTACCACCACTCAAAAAACTACAATCCCCATTCCCAACACAATCCCATCCACCCCCAACCCCGCTTCCCCCCTCCCACTCAGGAACCCTCCCCATCCGAGGCCTCAGCATCTCCGTCCCAGGCGCCACCATCTTCTTCGTCGCCCGTTCATCATCCTCATTGACATGTCCCGTAGCACCAAAAGCCCCAGTTAACGGGACAGCAGGACCCCTCCGCTTAAACGTACTCAGTCCCGCCGTGAACGCATTGAAATCCTCCTCCCCGCTATCATCGGGCATGTTCCCCGTTAATACCCGTCCCATTGCGATCAGCGATGCTGCATGCGAGCATATCAGGACTGCTTTACTGGTTCGTTCACTTTCTGGTTGTTCTTCTTCGTCCATTGAGATATGGAGGTCTAGGTCTGCGATGATGGCGGTCAATGCTAGGGCGAGGCGGTTGTGCAGTTGGGCGATTGTCTCGCCGCGGGTGGAGGGGACAAGGACGGGTTTGTAGGTTGTGCCATTGATGTTTTCGTACAGGAGGTCTGGGAAGTGTCCTGAGAGGACGTTGGGGGACTCGGGGCTGGGATGGTGGAACCAGGATGTTGGGCCGAACCATTCGCTGTTTCTTGTTAGCTACATCCTTCGGCTTCGTAGCAAATATATACTACGAGCACGAGGTATAAGTGTACTCACCCAACCCCATCCTCAACCTGAACACGCAACACCCCATCCTCCCAATCATCCGCTATTTTCCCATCCACTCGCTCTGGTTCCGGTAGCATCTGTAACTCCCGCAACTTCTCCACAGTCGGCTTTATCGTCTGCAGGCATCTATAGTACGGACTCGAGTAGATTCGGAACGGCTTGGGCTGGAACCCCGGGCTGGAGATGTGCGCGGCGAGTTCGTGCGATTGCTGCACGCCGTGCGAGGTTAGGATTGGGTCTGCTGGGTTATCGGTGGGGGTTGGGAATTGGGAATGGTATTCGCCGGTTTTGGGGTCAACGGTGAAGGTCAGACGGTGCTGTTGGTGTTAGCACTGTATTTGGTGTTGAATTGGTGGATGGGTTGGTGAGGGGTGATTTGGGGATGGGGATGGGGTATATACCTACGCCATGACGGGTTAGATATATTGTGTCCAGCGGCATTTTGGCTCTGGATAGGGATTATACAGCAACTGAAGAAGAGAAAAATAGAAGTATCCTCGGGGTTGGAGACTTGGGTATCCTCAGCTGAGCCCAAACTGCGGAGTCGGCACGGCAGAATGCGGGCGGTGACGATGAGCCGAGGTTGATATTGGAGACAGATGAAAGCTGTCGAGGTACATTCTACAGTACAAATACAGCGCTACAGCGATAGAAAATTGCTTGAATAATCGGAACAGCCGACTGACTTTGGATTGACTCGGCATCTATCTATAGCGCATCTGCCAGGGTATATCCTCAAATGTCCGCCACGAATTTTACATCGAGCGTCCTCATCGGTACATGACAGTCACCCCAGCACATCCCGATCCATCACAAGACATAACTTTTGTCGGTTTGATTGTCTAGTAGAAGAAACCGAGGATCTTGCCAGCAACGTGCTTGCGACGAGCCTCCTCGTGGTCCATGATACCAGCAGAGGTGGTCAGGACGAGGAAACCGAACTGACGAGAGGGCAGGAGCTGGGTGGTCCAGGTCTCGAGGTCACGGAGCTGAACGGGGTAGCGGGGGTTGATGACACCACACTTGTTGAGACGACCGTTGAGCTGGATGACGATCTTGCCGGAGCGGTGGTCGTCAACCTCCTCGAACTCGCCAATGTAGCCTGAAAGAGAGAAAGTCAGCAAGAATGTCGCGAAGACTTAAAAGTTAACCAAACACAGAAAACACGAATGCAGTTTCGGAAACTTGTAAGGCCCCCGCCATGTGTAAACACAGTCCTTAATATATCGGACACTTAAAAGACAAACGTCGTGGATTGATTGAAACGTTCATCCAGTTATCAGTCCGAATTCTCCTCCCTCCTTCATCTTCACAAGTTTCCAAAACTGCATATCCGTATCTGTGTGTAAACAGATAGACATACCGTGCTTCTGCATGACGTGCAGGAACTTGATGATGACCTTAGAAGAAGGGCGGATGAGCACCTGACGGCGACCCGACTTCTCGGCGTTGTTCATGGCGTTGAGCGCATCGTTGAGGACGGAGGTGCGGACCATTTTGGCGGTATTGAGGAATCGAGATTCTCAAATCGTTCAAAGAAATGGAAATGAGGTATCTAAGAGAGCAAAAAAGGTAACGAAAATTTTCCCCTAGTGATACTCCACTACCTATTACCGGCGGTGGGTATGGGAAAAATTCGAAACCGAAAAAAGTCAGCCACCAGTAGTCTTCGAGCGCAAAGAGTGCCCCCACTCTAAAGAAAAAAATTTCTTCAATCAAGGGTTCTTCAGCCCGGGCCGTGATGAGAGAAGCGTATCATTTTGCGACTTGCGTCCTTGACAAAGGTCCAAAACGATTGCTCCTCTCAGACTAGCTGAGAGGCTGTAGAATGGGACAACAACGATAATACATACCTCGAGGGATGTTGATTGACGATGCGTGGAGTGTCCGAGCTGAAGGGGAAGAAATCCGGCCAGAGGAGAAAAGAGAAAAATATGGATCAAATTGGACCCGCGCCGATCGCTAGTGTGCGTTCCTAGGGTTTACCGAGTGTACCCTTATCAGTCACGTGCTGATAGTGATTTTGCCCCAGGCATTGATATCCACCGCTGCCCTAGGCAGATATATGGAGCGCTTGCATAAGGACGTCAATGAATAGATGGCCTAAAGTGACTGGAACTCGAGAGTGAATGAGGCAATACAGACATGTGGACAATCCACAAGCTAGAAATCTCCTCAACCTCTTTTCATGCACCGTCTTGTCTTCAATTATCCTCTCGACATTAAACCACGGCAGGTACTCAATAAAATGCAGTACATGGTCTATTAAATGATTTAAATTCTCTACATACGAATAAGTATTATTATTATTGTTTAATCAAGTTTATTGTCCATATCGAGCTCTAAAGCTATAACAGACCGTTTTCCATGAGTCCGAGGCCTGCAGCTAGCCTGCGGCCTCTTGTCCCTGTGAGTTCCTACGAATAAGTATGAAATGTACAGACATTAGTACTTTTTCCGCGCCATTAATACACATTCGAGATCAGAGCGAGGAAATTAAAGGAGAACGAAAGATAATACAGGAGTAACCGGGTTAGTGCATTGAAGAAAGCAGAGAAAGGTCAAGAAGGTCAAATCGAGAAAATAAGGCATGAAACATGGTCCGCTCGACACAGACTTCATGATAATTTTGATTGACATCTCTTTCTGTGATATAGAAAGGCTGGTAATCAATTCCCCGAGCATTGTTGTGCCGCCAGGGATGTGGTAGCGCCTGTCCTAGCCTGATGTGCATATCTATATTCTCCCAGGATAAAGCAATCTCTTGATCCTAGTCTACCCTTGCACCCACATACTCCTCTACCAGTTAGCCCTTGTTATAAATGTTCTCCATTTAATGAGCTGTACAGAAAGAATAGTAATAAAGCTCAATTTCCTAAGAGTTATGTGCCACCTCTATATTTACTGGATGCATACATTGACTTGCTTGCCATAAACTACAAGCGTCTCCAAGCTACGGTACATAGCAGCCCCATATTTTCCTTGTTGAGACTGAAACAAGGTGATGTAGGGGAAGTCCCAGGGCATGTAAATAACAAGACATCTCAGCATCAATCAATTGACGAGCAATCAATCACCTGTTTCCTTTTTACACAACCCCCAAAATCTTTTGGTCCACGAGCACACAATGGAGGACTACCAAGACTACGAATGCTACGAAAAATTCGTTCGTTTATTTATATTGAGATCCTAAATCAGCTCTATTAATACATCTAGGACCTCACAATCGTGTACGAAAGCTTCGAAGTCCTAGACAAATATGCCAAGGACATTGAGAAAATGTGTGTACTCGTCCCTCTTTGACCCTCTATCTGCCTATGTCTTACTGAAAGTCTAATTCCGATGACCAGAGTCAACCAAATACAGCGAACTGGGGCCTAGAAACTTTTACTTCTATCCCATAGGTGCTCTGGTTCAGTGTGTTGAGTATGTTTGACACTCTGTCTCAAAGTGTTTGCTTTTATTTCATTGTATAAAGGACTAATGAAAACAAGATTTGAGGCAATTGAGAGTGACCTGGAAATCATAGAGCTGGGAGATGGCATTTTTACCACCATTGGAAAATTTTCCAATTGAATTCCCGAGGTAGCGGTCGAAACAGATGATGAATGGTAACATGGGTAGTCTTTCATTCAGTCTGAAGATGTAAAGCTAGCATTATTGATTACCACGAGGCCTTGTACATGATGATGCACAATAGCCCTATAATCCACATATTCCGCATCAACTAACCAGAATAAACAAACGATTTCTACGTAGCTGTCTCCATAGGTTGAATTGTTCATGATCGAAACCGAATTGAAGTAATTAAGTGTAACCTGTTTATTAAATATACTGCTCCGGGCGCTTCAAACTCTCGAGCGTTGACTAGTCCAGATAACTTTTTGGCCCGATTTTTACGTATGTTCGTCCTGATATCATTGTTACTCCTGTGTTCTATAATATCTCTAATTGGATCTCTGGTGAAGACCAGTAACGGTTGGCATTTAGTCGACCACCATCGAAGCTACATCTTGATAAATTGATTGCTATCCAAGGATAAAGGTAACCCCGGGCTAAGCAAAAACATACACGCGCCAGTACAGGCAAACAAATATTTCTTACTGTTAATCAATCATCCCTTGGTGTAGTTTGGCTTGATATGTTACTAGACCGTCATTACCAGTAACAACTAACTGGTGGTTAGCAAACAGCGCCTATAACTCTCCATACACAATCGCTGGATGCATGCATCTCTCTATAGTCCAAGCGAACTGATAGGAAGGTATAGGCGCCTTCTACATAGTACAATACACAGCCGCCTAAGCTTGATCTCGCCGGAATCGAAATTCTATTGAGGTACATAAATAGAGAAGACCTATCTCTCTGCTAGACTTTTCAGAATCAATTTGACCAACCAATCTGCTTTTATCTCTTCTCTTTTCGCCCTCACCCATACCAGAACTGCCGTGTCCCATATCTCAGCTCCATCATGACGGAGGCAATCAAACCAAGAGAATTCGCTGGCGTGTCTAACTTGGGCATTCCAAGCAAGAAAGTCAAAGTCCACCTGGTTCGTTGAATTTCCTTTCAAGTTATATTTCAAAGTCAATTCTCTGACTCAATACGCTTCAGAGACTCAAGATCAAGTATAATACCGTTCAAATCTATCGAAACTACGCAGATGAAATTGAGGGCTTGTATGTACTCACTGCTCTTTAATCTATATACTCTCTTACATCCCTTTTTCTTTATTCAAGTCTGTCCGTTCTGTTGATAGGAAACTAACTGGTTGTCTACTACAAGAGTTAAAATGAAGTATGGTGAACTGGGTGCGATAAATTTCCAAATCCAAGAAGTCTCTCCAGATGCACTCCCCCCAATAGAGCATTCTGTTTGGTAAGTTTGGCATTTCCAGAACTTCGGTTTCAGTCTCAACTTCTACTTCATTAGATTAAACACTAATGTCAAGGCCAGGTTTGACGCACCGGACAATGTATATTCTAAACGGATAGCTATTAAGCTTGGAGATGGCATCAATACTGATCTAGTCTTGCTTCCGTTCAATTGACCTCCTTCTCCAAGCAAAGTCTAGTTCGTACGTAGGAGAATCAAAGACCATATGTTCATAGAAAATGTTTTATTCAAATCTCACTCCACTGGGAGCTTTATAGACTATACTTGCGCAATACCTATGCTAGCACAACATAAGGATGTTATCTTATTCACTAATATATTGTATACTTATGCAGAGTGTGTCATTGTCTGGTGAGAGCCTGTTGCTGGAGCTGACTTGGTCTTTGGTGCTGCAGTTGTAGTCAATGAAAGGGGTGGGAGGATACTGCTTTCTTCACTAAAGGCTTGAGAGAGCTTTAGCCATTATCTGGGATGTTTTAAGACTGTCACATACATTCATCAGTGCCATTGGTAAGACAATATCTGTACCCTGGCTGAAGATAACATGGAGTCACGTTGGCCAGTATAGGATTCCAATCAAGGAATGTATTAAGGGTAACTTCATAAGCAGATATTGCAAAGTCACGGCTGTTTATATTGACCGTAAACACTGTGATATCCTGGGATTCAGCTTGCTCAGTTACATTCGGTATAGTGACATATTCAATGTAGTCCTTGCAGTTGGATACCGTGCCGGGTGCCGTTGGAAGGGGAACAATAGACGTCACACTTGGAGGGGGTGCCTTAGGAAGCGTTGACGCACTGGTGGTGGTGAACTGCATTGAAGTCAGAGCATATGGTAGGGAAGTGGTGGGGTAACCCGAGTAATTCGAGATGTCTCCCACGGCCTGAACACAGTATGCTGCGTTCAATTCAAGATTTCCGCATGTAGAATTGAGCCCTGGATTCAAGAAATTGAAGTCATCAGGCGCGATGTTGTTGCGGTTGGCAATGCTCTGGCAGTTATCTTCTTGCTTGACAACATACCATTTCCCACATCGCGACGTCGATAGGGGAGGGGCATTGCTGGGCTTGAGCGCAGGGGTTGTAGCCCTGCTACTTGGTGTTTCCAGCGGTGTGGAGCTAGATACTGGTGTTGAGCTAGCCACCGGGTCCAGGGAACCGCCTGGGGGACTAGATCACGTTTTTATTAGCGCCAATCTCTTGAAAACCACGAGTCTATGATTTACCCAACGCAGATATACGTGTCTGTAAAATACATCAAGTTGCCGCAGATCCGATTAACGTTGGGGTTCCAGGCAAGGAACTGAGACCCAGTAATGTCTGGGTAGGCTTCCAGGATACTCTCGCAAGTGTCGTCAACTTGTACCTGGTACAAGACGCAAGGGGGAGGTAGACAAAGCGAGCCAACAGCATAAAGGTTGGAGCACGATGAACTTATACCGCCGCTGTTTAGAATTCCTTCAGTAGAAACATTCTGTGCCAGTGCAATAGAAGCACAAGTGTCATCATCCTGCATTTTATATGGGTTGGAGCAAGCCGGTCCAGAGCTGGCACTACTAGAAGGGGCTGCAGTTGAGGAGCTCAGCGCGTAGGTTGCCGGTGACGTGAAAGTGTATCCGGTGGCCGAGCAACTTGAGGTAGCGGACTTGAAATCAATTTCAAAGTCCTCGTCATACCCAAAGGGGGAGTTCAGCTGGATTTGCATCACGTCGAGCATACAGTCCGAGCAGTTCTGGGAAGCAGTCAACCACTTCGGACGTATATGCAACAATTTGGGAATGGAAGAGCCATACAGTGGCCTCTAAGGCCGACAAAGTGGACCGCCGAGAAGTGATGATCAGGGTCTAAAGCCATCATGCATCAATGTCACATCTAGATCAGATTCAGCACGAAATACGAACTTAGGATCCCCGCACCAGCCCAGCAGGCATCCTACTAGCACCGTTTCAGAGCCTCAATCCCAATCCTTGTTCCCAAAACTGGTTCCGGCATCTGCAAGATGCCGCTTTCCCGACGATGCAATGCAAGAGCGTATGGTGCTCCGATTGGGAGCTGATAAGCAATAGGGGCTGTATTAATTCCCTCACGAGCCTCACATAGACCTAAGATGGAGCTAATTGGTGAATGCAGACGGCCTTCAATTTTAGACATGCGCAAAATGCTCTATCACGTTCCCCTCCAGGACCCGTTTTTATGCACCTTCGTAGAGCCCAGGTGTGGAAGGAAGACACCGGATGGGGGCATGCATAGTAAGAGTCTTCTGGTATAATAATTCTCTAATCTTGTGGGCCAGTTTCGACCAGGACAGGAAGTTCCCTAACATACTTTGTGGTCAATTCCATTCATCAATCGTTGCGACAGAATGGGCTCGGTAGGAAGGCTGTCGAGTTTCGGGATAGTAGTCCTGAGCTTTATTACTCTACTCTTTTTTAGCCACTATTTTAATCATGCCCCGGGACATTCCTCGGCTCTTGCACCCCCAGACCCTATCTTTGGGGTTCATGATGCCGACACCCATCTATTCCGTCGAGACGATTACACTTGCGGCCCTAAACGTCCATGTGAAAATGGTGCTTGCTGTGGAGCCAGTGGTAACTGCGGATATGGAGATGACTATTGTGGTAAAGGCTGCCAATTCAACTGTGATGCTGCAGCAGAGTGCGGTAAAGATGCGAATCCAGCCGGAAAGCTTTGCCCATTGAGTACCTGCTGCAGTGAATTTGGGTTCTGTGGGACAACGAAAGTGGGTATTTACCAATATCCTATACCAAGGCACTGACAAGAGATTCTTAGGAATTCTGCACGGGTAAATGTCAATCTAACTGTACTTTGCATCCCGAGCCACCCAAAGGGTCTCCGAAAAACAAAACTCTTAGCAAGGGTACGTATACTTCATAATCTTTTTTCTCGGAGTGCCTGTAATAGCTCTCTTGTTTATTCCGTTCCCCTATCTAACTACAAGCCAGTAATTGGATACTACGAGTCTTGGAGCGATAGGCTTGCATGCCACCAAATGGCACCCCACTAGTGACCTTCCTCTGTCGGAGTTAACTCATCTTAACTATGCTTTTGTCTATATTGATCCAGAGTCATATGAACTGGTGACAATGGACTCGCAAACGCCGGAACGACTTTTCTCACTAACAGTTGAGGCAAAAGACTACAACTCAGAGTTGGAAGTGTGGATCAGTGTAGGGGGTTGGGCCTTTTCTGACAACAACACTGCCACGCAGCCGGTCTTTGGTGACATTGCAGCCAAAGGAGAGAATAGACAAAAATTTGCTGATAATGTTGTTCGCTTCCTTGACCATTATGGGTTTGATGGGTAAGTAGTGGTATTCATCATGAGGGCCAGCAACCCTGACGAATTTACAGAATTGATATTGATTGGGAGTATCCGGGTGCCCCGGATCGAGGTGGAAAATTCGAAGACACCAAGAATTTCGTTGAGTTAATGAAGACTCTCCGTTCTACTTTTGACAAGTCTCCAAGGAATCTCGGCTTGACATTCACAATACCCTCATCCTATTGGTACCTACGGTGGTTTGATATGCCTGGAATGATGAAGTATGCCGACTGGACAAACCTGATGAGTTATGACCTTCACGGCACCTGGTGAGCGACTATCCATGATATTTTTACTATGCTAATTGGTGTCGTAGGGATCGCAATAACGCAATTGGTAATCTTGTTCAAGGCCACACAAATCTGACCGAGATCAAGCAAGCCGCGGAACTCTTATGGCGGGTCGGAATCAAGCCCGAGCAAGTTGCCATGGGCTTCGGCTTCTATGGACGTTCGTTCAAGCTTGAGGACCCAGGTTGCAGCAAACGCGGCTGCAGGTTCAAAGGGGACGCAATGCCTGGTAGTTGCTCATCAACTAGTGGGATCATGATGTATTATGAGATCCAGGCCCTGTTGGACCAAGGTCGCAATTTGAATCCCGTTCATGATGAAGAAGCGGCGGTCAACTACCTTGTATACAACAAGGACCAGTGGGTGTCATATGATAATGGGACAACCTTTCAACAAAAGCTCGACTGGGCAAATGAGATTGGAATTGGTGGCTCACTCATCTGGGCATCTGATACAGACGATGACAAGTACACAGCCATGAGAGGTTTGATCGGGGAAAGGGTGTCTCACCCTGATCTCTCTCAGAAGGCAATAAGAAGCAACTCGATAACGGTTATACAAAATCCCGTTGGCCAAAATGGTCAAGACTGCAAACTGATGGACGATTGTGTTGACCCTGATATCATCAGGTGTCCAGATGGATGGCACAAGGCCGGTTGGGACAAGGGAGATAAAACTTGTGGGGTAAGTCAGATATCGGTCAAAACGGTTGTTCCGTTTCACAATACTGATTCTCCGGGTTAGTCTGGCGGGAAGCTCATTTGCTGTCCTGCTTCCACTGCGCCTCGATCGTGTACCTGTGCGTATGACATGGTTCAATGGTGAAGCTGACACTGACAAACTTGAAAAGGGCGTGGGAGTGGAGGTGACTGCAACGGACAATGTCATTCCGGTGAAGCCACTTTATTCAAATCGTCATGGTGGGTGCCAGCATATTCCTTGAGGTCTTGTCCTTGAGCCAGACCTAGTCCATCATTAACTTTACTTTTCTCAATAACTAGGGGCGGTGGATTTAATGCCGAAAGCAGCACTGCCAAATGTAGTCGAGGTGCCAAGGTCTTCTGCTGCGACGCTGGAAACTGGAAGCAAGCCACCCAGGGCTGCTACTGGTCCCATTGGTATGAACACCGTCTTAGAATCCTTCTGAGGTAATATACTCACAAAAATAGCGTTGATGACTGCAAGAGTGGTGAGAAGGCTGTCTCGGGAACGAAAGATGGATGCTTTCTAGGCACAAGTAAGTTACCCATATTGACCTTCAGAATTGGGGTCATAACGCGAGATGGAAAATACTAACATCATGCTCAGGTAAATACTGTTGCCCATCTGATACCCCTATTCATGACTGCACATGGAGAGGCAGTAAATTCGATTGCGAGGACGCAAAATGCGAAGGCGATGAGGTTTCGATCAGAAACGATCCACAGGGCAACAGTGGCTGGGCGTGCTCATATGCGTACCCTCTTCTTATCTCTATTCTCTCGTGGATTCGAATCTAATATGTTGAACAGGGGGGAGGAAAAAGACGAATTGCTGCAAGGTGACAAAAGCGCCTCCACCATCTCTCAAATGCAATGTCACTACATGTGATATTGACCCTGGTCTTTGTTCGATTGCAGCAGAGGGCGGTTATACCAAGCGGGATGTGCCAATACACACCCTTGAGAAGCGAGGCGGAAAGAGAGACTTCAACTGGCCTTTATACGGCTATCTTACGAACAATTTGTATCAATTGATGCGGTCGAGAGCATATCCTGGTAGGGATGCGTATATGAGGAATCTTCGGCATCGAATGGCAGGATTAGCATCGAGATGGTGGTATATGCGCTCCGAGAGTTGCAGGCGTCCAGATCTCCGGTCAGCACATATTTCAAGTAATAGGGAGGCTCCGTTTGGTGCTGAAGTCGAACACCCAGTACCAGTATGAGTTCCAGTCCACTCTTTGCGAATTGTTTTCTTTTTTTGGCTAACATCTGACATCTAACAAAAAGTTGGCGGTCGTATCTCGGTTCGCCGCATCTGCCAATCATGGTAGACTTTACACCCAAAGACCCATCATGGATCTGGAAAGCCAGATCCCCCAAGGACCGCAGACGCGTACACCGCGGATTGGAAATGATTTCTGGCAGCGGGTATGGAATCAAGCCAACGCGTTGCCAGCCGGTCTACCTCGCATCTCAGACCAGTCAGATGATATACGTACGCCATCACAGCGGATTTACGAAGCGCTTGGTTCGAGTACAAACCCAAGTCACTTCACCCTACTTCAAAATGGCGTCAATGCTGTCAAGAATAGCCTGGAAATTTTCAAACGTCCAATGGCTCCGGCTAGGTTTAACAGAGAAATTGCCTCCGCTCTAGTCGGCGATGAGATGGCCATCAGGACAATCATGGCACCACTTCGCGAGGTCAGATATTTTCTACATGGATCCCCAACGAAGTCTAAATCACTGATTCTTTGTATTCCTTTCTAGACTGTAGCTATGTTTCAATACCTGAATTCCGACGATGTTGTGACTCGCATGGACACGATTGTCGCGGGGGTATATCAGCAACTTCAGTTGGTTGAGCGATTGACTGCTATCCTATGTGTCTAAATCAAAGCCAACTCGCGAGCTAGTAGAAAAATCTTTCGTTATGGCGACACGATGAAAAAACATGAGCCTTGTTGTACCCGCTCTGTATACATGCTCGGGTATAACAGCCCTAAATTATACTCAGACCGGATAATATCAGTCCACCAGAGCGCAGGCCTACTCCCATAGCAAACAAATCCATCAAACTCTGGTGTGAGCAATATCCTCTAATCCGGGTTGTACAGACCTTGACAAAGAAACACAACGGCAAACTATAACACAAACACCGGATTAATACCTATACTTGTTGTTTGCCCTATCACCAAGACATTCGGACTACTACACGACATGTACACGCCCTCTACACGGTCCATAGCCGTCTCAGTTTCCGCTCAGTTGAAACTGAAATGATGTCGCAGATCAGAAACTCAAGGTATATCAAGAATAAAATACCTCTGCTTCTACATTCACAATTGACTTGTTCTTCAACCACAGAAATCTCCTTCCTCACCTCATCATCTCAGTTAGTCCCACGAAACAAACCAAACTACCCCGCGTTCAGTACACAAAAAGCAATGCATAGTGGCCAAATGAAAGACTATGTTCGCTAAGCTCCCTTCCAAGCTACAATCTAACACTAAACGGCGATAATCTAACTCATATCTACTTAGACACTCAGGCTCTACTACGGTAGCCCCGAAATCTATCAGAAATACGATGACAACATCGCGAGCTTGTATGTACTCCATTCTATCGACTTCTATCTATCTGCTCGTGTCTAACTAACTACATACTAGGGTCAAAACTAAGTACGGCGAAGCCGGTGCTATAAATTTCATCGAACCGCCTGACTATGAAGACCAAACCCACTTTTTCGTGTATGTTTCACACTTCCAGAGCTTCCCCCCTCCCCCCCTCCAATTCGATTGCATATTAATGAAATTCAGGTTCGAAGCGCCAATCGATGCAAGTGATAAAGTGCATGCCGTAAAGCTAGAAGATGACATTATCGTTGTGTTGGAAACGCTCCTGCCTGACGAGTAGGGCAACCCTAAGATCAATTTCTCGGGATAGAGCAAACGGTCAAGCTTAATAGCAAACACTTGATTCTTTGTTCAGTCATAATTCTCTGTCCAATGTACGTTGGACAAACACATCTCTGACATAATATACACCCCTGTCTTTATGCATACTGTCCAACCGGACTGAATGGAAATAGTATATAAGCGGAAAGACTCTTTGACTATTACATTGTACGCACTACATACATTGTCAGCTTAGCTTAGCCTCCCCTCAGCTGACTATAAATATGAACTGCTTCTATTCTCAGAAAGAAAGCAAACAAAAATAGAACAACACTTTGCAAACTCAAACAGGGACTATTCGAAATGCCCAAATACGTTCGTTAAATCTAACCCCTCTTCTATACATCCAACACAACACTAACGATCAACGCATATCCAGAGACTCTACATAAAATTCGACATCAACACCGACCCCGTCGAACAACGCTACTATCACGTTAGAAACCTGTACGCTCAAACTTCACTACTCCTCTCTGTTTCTTCGCTTGTACCATCAGCTAATCTAACGACACCAGGATAAAAGCCAAATTCGGCGCCGTAGGCGCCATGAATTTCGGACAGATTTTCGAGAATCTACATGATTGGCCTCTTGTTCAGGTTATTTAGTACGTTTGTCTTATTCTCCCTGAAGTTTTTTTGGTTGTTTGGGTTTTGGATGCTGATGAAGAGTAGTTTCGGAGCAGCCGAGAATATCCCGTTGGAGGTCCTGCAGGCTGTGAAGCTGGGCGATGGTATCTCGACTACTATTCAGCAGATTGAATAGAAGGGATGTCTTTCTTAAGGCTCTCATGCTCTCATACGATCAACTTCACCAAGTCCGTTCATACAGAAGATGAAGGATCGAGTTCAGGGAAACGGTCTTACCACCGTCAATACCGGGATCCATGAGGATAGGGGCATGGGGTACATAATGGACTTTCCAAGGCCGACGAGCCAGCGGGTATTGAATTTTATATGCCTACGAAACCTAATCTTCCTTTCCATACATGCCAGCACATATACATAAACCCTAAAATGTGTTTCCGCGCGTCTCCTATGAACCTCGCCCTCTCTACCTTCTCCAGATAAAACAACCAACCAATCTCATTCCAACCCAGTCAACCAGGCACTCTGATCTAGTTGTACACTCCGCTTGACAGAGGCAATCTGGATTATGCGCATATAGATAACCATCCAACTAACCCCAGTCCCAGTCCAGCAAACACGCCTTCTGCATTGCCACGTAGCCACGCCTAACTCAGATGGTGTCATGCGTATGCCCAAGAACAAGATATATAGAGTTGTATACAGCGCGTCTGTCACAAGTGACTTGCAAATCACTATCTTCATTCTCCAGAAGCATCAAAACCACTAGTAAAGCACCGAAAAAGCAAAAACGAAGAACCGAGATGTCTACTTATGTATGCCCATCTATCTTCCCTCCCTCTAATTCACCTCGACCACGTCCATCTAATTCATTCATACACTAACACTCAACCAGGCCCTCACAGTCGAATTCGAAGACTTCGGCTTCGCAGAGCATTACCATCACATTGATAACCTGTACCGTTCCTCCCTCTCTTCTATCACTCCTGCTCTATTCTTCCTTGTCTCTTAGCATTGCCGTTTTTCTGATATCGTAACCTACGCACCAGGGCATCAATAAAACTCCACGAGAAGGGTGCAGTTTCTTGCAGGCCGCTTGGGAGGAGTCGGTTTAAGACTTTAGCTAAGGATTATAGGTATTTCACCTAGACGATATGGCTTTGCTTGATGCGCTGTTTCGTTTTGAGTTTTGCATTGTTCAGTTGAATTTGATTAGACGTGTACTAATAACAGGCAGCTTCGAAGCACCCGAGCATATACTCCTGGACGATCTGAGAACCATAAAACTGGGCTATGGTATCTCCACCACCATTAACGAGCGAAACGACGGCGATGTATCTGTTTATTTAAATACACCCCATACGAAAAACCAATGTCATAGCAAATGAGTATCTTCATTCTCTCTTCAATTCAAAGCAAGTTTACATGACTTCTCGGGGCATACATGACTATCTTTACCATCGCAATGCTATCACAAACAAAACCGTCTAAATTAACCGACGTAAAAAGAAAAGCAGAAAGGACAGGGGCCTAACAGATGAAGAAAAAAAAAAAAAAAAAAAAAAAACCGAATAGTAATAATAAGAATGAGAAAAGAAATCAAATGAAGAAAATAATAAACTTCCTTGGGAAAATGCGAAGGGGAGGTTCGACTAGGGAATGTGCCTAGAAGGTACCTGAAGGTGAATGGGGGAAGGGAGAGGGGGGCGACATGTGACGGGGGAGAGGGGGGATACGTATGGGGGAGGGGGGGGGATTGCAGTGCTAAGATCGAGGGTGGGCGATAAGGCGGAAGGGTGATTTCGACTGGGGTAGTGTTGGGGTATGCCGAAATTCAATGCTGCAAAAGCGGCATGGCAATCTGCTGCAATCAACCGGTGACACCACGTCCAAGTGTCCGGATGTCACCTGCGGGCGAATGGAGCTGTCCAACAACGGCCTCGCTTCCTTCCGGGACATTCGATGCACGTGGCGTGTTGCACGGGGAGCTGGCTCAAGAACAGCAATCAATCACAGAAAAAGTCGATTGGGATGCTTTTATGACATGGAAGCAGTAGCGATGTTGACTTGGCGCTTGACTTGCTCACGAGCCCACCGAGCAGTGTCGATAGTGCGGGGACCATACTCGCGGCTTGTCCTGGTCTCCCGGACAAGGGCGGTAACCCAGTCCTGGCGGAAGAAGCCAGCAAATTCGCCGTTGGGGAAAGCGTCAACGAGGTCACCAACAACACCCATGGATGCTCTCATCAATCCCTCACTCCGGCTTCCAGGGTCTTGCGAGATGATGTGCAGAAGCTGGAAGATCGACTCAACGAAGGGTTGCAGTTGGGCCGCTTGAGGAGTGCCCTTGTAGGACAGAAGGATACCACCCCAGGCATCCATGATACCCTCACGGAGAGAGATGATGTAGTCGAGCATCTCAATAGTGATGTCGGCGCTGGTGGTAACGGTAGAGGCCTGCTGGAGAACCTGAGCAACGACAGGCAGGTAGGTGTCGAACTGAGTTCCGATAGCCTGGGCAATGTCACCAAAGGTTTCGAGGATGGCAGGCTTCAGCTGGTTGGCGGTGCTCCGGAGGTTGTTGAGCAGGTGGTTCATGAAGGTGTCACAGAAAGGCTGGACCTTCTCGTTCAATGCGCGTGCAATGTCGCTAACCAAGCCAATGGCCATGGAGCAGAGACCAAGCTCCTCCTGGTTGCCAAGAGCGTTGTACAGGAAGGGGCTGAAAGGCTCCATGTACTTGACGAAATCTTCCTCGAGGGCGCCAGCAATAGCACCAATAGTAGCGAACACAACATCAGGCACACTCGACTTGGGAGGAACGGTAGTGAGAACCTGGAGCATGGCGTGCATGATGCGGTCGGCCTGGGGCTTAATCTCGGTTTCCAGACGCTGAACGATGGCAAGAACAACGCTAATCAAGCTGGTCTGCATCTCTTCCAGGGTAATACGGTCCTCGACGCTGACAACCTGGGCCTGCATGGGAACAGTCTGCTCGAGACGCTGGAGCATGACATCCGACAGGGTGGCAACCATGGGCAGGCTGTCGTTGGCGGCATTGGTGACGAAAGAGTTGAGGACTTCGTATCCAGCAGTGCGGAGCTGGTTGTCAGCATCCTGTCTCTCAGTAAGAGTGAGAAGAGACTTGACACTCTCCTGGAAGTGCCTCGAGAGCGGGTTGGTCTGCGCGCCAATTTCACCAGCGAAGCGGTCGGCAACGTTCATCAAAGCCCAGCAGCAAGAGCTGGCAATCTTGGGAGTGCTGGCAAGACCGTTGAAGAGGCAAGAGATAAGGGGCTGGAGGTGAACCTCGGGGTCGAGGGTCTCAGAGCAGAAGTCGCACACACGACCCAAGGCGAAAGCAGCCGAGTCGCGAACCTGGACAGAGCTGTCCTCCATCATACCAATAAGAACACCAAGGGCCTGCTTGATGAGAGGCTCCAGGATCTTGGGGTCGGGACCGTCCATGATGGCACCGAAGGCGGCAACGGCGGCATCACGACGGCGCCAGTCCTCGTTGCGAATGTTCTCCTCGACGAATTGCAGAACCGGTTGCATGACCTCACCCTGAACACACTGAGCGTAGAGCTGCAGAGCCTGGTAGGCGGCGCGAGCAATGTTGTACTCGTCCTCGCCAGCGTCCTCATCCTGCTTGCACATGTCCTGCAAGAGGACGGGAATGACCTCTCTGCATGCGACACGAGCAAAGCCAAACAAGGGGCGCATCTCCGTAACACCTTCGGCCTGAGCCGCAGCATTGTCATCCTCGATCGCAATTTCCTCTTCGCAGACTGTGCACCAGAATTCGATGGCAAGCTTGGCAACATCCTCCTCCTCGCTCTTCATACCCATAATGCTGAGACCAAACAGAGCCTTCTCCATGTAAAAGCGCATCTTCTCATAGTACGAGCCCATGATACGGTTGAGACAGCCAAAGGCACCGGCCTGGACACGGAGATCATCGGCCTGGGTGGCCTCGCAGACGACCTGCATGATGTAATTCCGCTCACCCTCGTTGTCCATGTTGGTCCGAACAAAGTCGATGGAATCACCAAGAGCGGTCATGGCGGCATTCCGCACGTCCATGTTGGGCTCCTCGCGACGGGCACCCTGGACGACGGCGGTGAGGATGGCATTGGACTGGGCAGCGAGGCTTTCCCGGAGCTCGGGGTCCTGAGACTCGCAGACATACCCAATAGTGATCAGGGAAGCCTGCTTCAGTTGATCGGAACCGGTAGCGACGTTCTGAACGAGGGTGTTCATGAGTTCCGGCCACTCATTGCGGGGCAGTTCGATGGCAGCGACGGAGACGATGAACTGAGCGGAGGAGGTGGCGGCACGGGCATCCTTGGAGGTCAATGTCTTAAGGGCAAGTTCCTTGACCTGAGTCTTGATTTCGGGGGTGATCTGTTGAATCCATCTCCCTTGCACTTCGCGTAGTGTGGCCAAATCTCTGGAGGTGAAAGCGTTTTTAAGCGCAAGACCGGCGGCGGTTCTGATGTGCGGTTGGGAGGCTTCGTTTGCCAATTCTTGGCCCAGGGTGGTGAGGTAGCCGGCCTAAACGAAGCAGATATCAGCACTCGCATTCTTTTATTCATATTGTATCGTTCAAAGGAGATAGGGAACATACAAAGTCAACCTCCGCAGCGTGGGCGAGCTGCTGTTCGGCATTCGTACGTGTCGCCGCATCTGGAAAAAGCACCCGATCAGTAACCGCAAGACAAGCCACCAACCAGGTGAGCCAAGCGAAGATAGAAAAAGGACATACCTGGCGATAGGGTACTCGCCAACACCTGAGTGACATCCATCTTGGTTTATGCGAACAGAAAAGAAAAAAAAAAAAAAAAAAAAAGGTCGCCCAACTGGTCTGAACAGATCGGAGAAAAGAAAATCAAGCAACCAGGCAGGAAAAATCAACCACCCAAGCGAGATCAAAGAGACAAACAGTCAAGAGAAAGAATAAAAAGAGTGGTTGAGGCAACAAGAGGGGAGGAAGGAAGAGAGGAAGACGGGAATTATTCGTGGAGGGAAACCCGCAGGTTGTTTTTGTGGATTATTATTATGACGCCCTCTTCGATTTTTTCTCCGGAGTTAAGGCGGAGGAGGAGACCGGTAGTGGCAGAAAGTAACGGTGACCGTCGACACGGCAATTCTCAGAGCAGGGCTATGGAAGTTGTGTAGAAAATGCGAAGAAGCAGTAGAGAGGAGGGAGAGAAAAGAAAAGGAAGAAAGAGAGAAAGAGAAAGAGAGGGGAGAGACTCTGAGAGACACAGAGAGAGGAATCCATGATGCTGTTCTTTTGCCCGTCCAATCACCGCCCACCGCCTACTACCCTCTACGGTTAATGATTGGCTGGGGGGACCGTGCCGCCCCGCGATTCTGCTTAGTCATATCACGTGACATCCCTTGCGAGAATGATACATCAGACTGTATTTGTACAGGAGTAAACACGGTGAACAAGCACTGTTATGGAGACGGAAATACGTTAGCAGCCTGCTGAGTTACCCGGTAGACATATATGAATAGCAGCTGCAGGTGTGCTGTCATGCATACAACAGGCACAAAGTGTGAGGCTGTCAGCCCCTCTGCTTATTTTGGTTTTTCTCCTTCAGTCCACTCAGGTGCCTAGGCAACTGCCCACAGAGAGTTCCACTGCTTTCTGTCAACAATTTATTTACGAAATGACTCTAAACTGGAAATGACTGAGGTAACTAGAAGAAAGTAATATTGTGTATGTGTTAGTATGAGAAAACTAGATTTAGTGTCATCTTCTTTGTCTGAGTTTATCGTGGGCTAGTAGATCCTTTGGCAGGGATTACCCCTCCATGCCTACACAGCTCTATATGCTCGTATCATAGTTACCATGTTTCATAACCTCACTGAACACTCTCGTCCTCTTCAACAATCTCCGCATCCATATCAAACACCTCATACCTCCCTCCATCCCCAAACAGCGCACAAACCGCCCTCCTCCCCTTCCTCCCATTAACGTCAATCCGTCCAACCCGACCCTTAGCCCCTGCACTCGCGGGAAACGTATGCCTAATCAGGCTCGCGTGCGGTGGATCCTCCGCTAGTACATCTAGTGGCACAACTGTGGTCGATGCATTGCAGTCTTCGTATTCCACGGTAATATCGGAGGGGGTTTTGGCTTCGGCGCCGGAACTCGTTGCGGACGAGGGTTGGAAGGGGAAGTTGAGGAGGTAGGAGGATCCGTCTGTTGTGTAGTGTGGTCAGGATTGCTTGGACATGCTATGATGAAGAAGGGAAACATACTAGGGTGAGACCAGAGGATCATGAGGGTATCATCCTCGACAAACTGGAGTTGGCGGATTTCGCCTTCTTGGAGGTCGAATGCTGCGATGGATGTACTTCGTGTCGAGCTCACTCCGTTCACGGAATCAAGGACCACGCGGTAGATGTAGACTGCTTGTGTCAGCACGTGCATATAGCAAAAGATCAGAAGACACGGCCATACATAGATGCTTGGACTTGATCGATCTCGTAGCAATGTAGGTCGAACCAAAGCTTCCTTCTTGGGCATCCTGAACTACGTCAGCAAATCGTTTCATCAAAGTAGTGCTGAGGGAATGCGTACCTCATAGCGCATAGCCATATCAACAACCTCCCCATCACAATCCCCATGCAACACAAGCGGTGACCGATGCAAAATCCCCCTCCTCTGCGTCAACGCAATCTGCCCAAACACCTTCTCAAACTGCAACCCCAACCTCTTCGTCAAATCATTCAGCTTCGGCACCTCCACCTCACCCCCATCCAAACTCTGCTGCTGTTGCTGCTGTAACAGTACCTTAAACATCTCATAAAACGACCGACCATGCCCCGTCGGAGCCCACTTATCAGCCGTCGACGAAGGCGGAGGAGGAGGTCTGGGAACGCCCATCATGGGAAGTTGCTGGATGAAGCGGCGGAGGGAGCTTTTGGCGAGCGGGCCCTGTATGTATTTTAGTGTTTGGGGGTATTCCATGATGTCTGTTCGTTCCATTAGTTCTTCGAGGGTTTGGGACATGGGTTCTGCGCTTTGGATGTCAATTTCGTGGCGCAGCCATTTGGAGAAGGAGATGAATTGGGAGAGTTCTTCGTTGGTGTTGATTAGGATGTGGTGGGATAGAAGGTGGAGGCAGTCGAGGGTTTCGACGATGGCGTTTAGGTCGGATGTTTCTAGGCCCAGGATGTCGCTGAGTTTGGAGAACTTTGATAGACCGATGAGACGGCTGAGGAGGACTTCGCAGCGTTCCAGGGCCGGGAGGAGACATTCATGTGTTAGACGTCGGATGTTTTCGTATCCACTGCAGACAGCCTTGTCCCATCTCTTGTGGCCCTGTGACTTGAGAATATCCACCAAGAACTCCTTTAACGGCGCAAAGCAATCCCCAGTAACCACCAAATGATACGTAGCAGTGACAAAATCACAATGACACTTCTCCTGCAGGTCAACCTCAGCACTGCGCATGAATCTCATCGGTTGTTCTTGGGCATTTTTCCATTCGATCTCGATCTGCTTCTGCACCTGATTGATATACCGCAGTAGATTCTGCAATTGCGTCGTCTTATAAGCGAGTAGCGCCAAATATCGACCAGACTTTGTGATGAACCGCAGATCAACGGTTAATAATTGTAGTGCGTTCGTAGACGCGTCCGGTGAAGGCGTAGAAGCCAACAAGGCATGAGTCGAGCTTAACGGGTGCGATGCATGTTGAAGCAAACTGCATGGATTGGCATTCCCCACAGAAGGACCAATCTGGAACGATCCAATCTCGAAACAATCAAAGATCCGCAGATGTACCGTGCCATCGTCGAATCCCACCGCAAGCACATCTACCGAGTCACTGGTATTCTTCGCCGCGGAATGAAAAATGGCATCCAGCGATGCCCTGGAACTGAATACATCATCACTGCGGAGTCATTAACATCAACACTATTCAACCAAATCAGCAAGGAAGATTGGAAGGGCACTCACTCACTCCCCGTCGCCGGCAACGTACTCAACTTCGGCAACGAACTCTCCACATCCAACAACGCCAACTCCCTCGGTAAATCCGCCTTCAACAAAGCAGCCGCCTTCGCCGGATGCACATCAGGCGCTAGCAAATCCTGCACGGAGATCTGTCCCGCAGCCTCCTGGAGGTATCGCTGTGCGCCTTTGCTGTCGGTGAAGTTGATACCCCAGCCTAGACAGGTGACTTTGGGTTGTTGCGTGGTAGTAGTCTCGTCTTCATCGTCATCACCCTGTTGTGATTGATGCTGATATGCCGGATAATGATGAACCGTCTTCCCGCTGTACGAACTGATAACCCGGATCGTGTTATCCGCACAAGCAACAGCAAGCAAATGTCCTGCTCATCCATCAGCACCACCATCCTAAGACCCCAATCCCAAGCAAGCAAAAAAAAAAAAAAAAA